CCCCGTGTTTCGTTACATTTGTTAACAATCAACGTTGAAATAATATTAAAAAAAAAATAAATAAATAATAATAAAAGAATAAAATAAAATGCCAGCCCCTATAACTGTCCTGAAAATTAAAGAATCCACAAAAACACTATTTACACAATCTACGCCTGTGGTGGTCCTTGCAAATCTCTAATATATATTCTTTGACCAAATTGTATGTACAGGCTCTATGGGGCGTTAGGAGTGTTTCTGTGTAGTTTAAAGTTCCTCCGACAGATGGCGCAATATTTAGTTTTTTTGTGTTTTTGCACCGGAACTCAAGAACTACTACACCGATATTGATCAAATTTATGTATATGATCTATGGGGCGTGAGGAGTGTTTCTGCTTAATTTTAAATTCGGCCGACAGATGGCGCGCTATATTTTCGTTGCGGTTTGCCCGATTAGAGATTGGACGCTTAATCGATGTTAAGTATTCCGACACCATATCATACATAACGCGTGCGAGTGAAACGAAGAAAAATTTAAATCTACTTATAAAACTTATATAAGAAACGTATAGCAACACATCAATTTGAGTACGGCGGGACTTATTTAACTAAAATTTTCTTTCAGTTATCTGTAATTAAAGTGGGAAGGTTTCTATGAAAGAAAATTTTGAGAAAAATACGCAAAAATCTTGAAAAACACAATTTACAGAGAAGTTTCTTACCCTACATGAAATACCGAATTAAAGGCAATTTATAGGGTATTTTTTACTACTTTCAAAGGCTTAAAATCGTATTAGGAATAATAATCACACCATTCATACTAAATTATCTTTTGAGGTGAGAGTAGTTAGATCAAAACTTGACCTTCTCCTGACCAATGTTTGGTAGAAGAAACCTAAATTGATGCAATTTTGATACGTCAAAACAACGTTTGCCGGGTCTGCTAGTATATATATATATATATACCAGCCCCTGAAATAATGAAACAATCCACACTTAGGGGTCCCTGAAAAACATTATGTACGCAGTCCACGCCTGTAATGGTCTTTGAGAAATATGTTTAAAAAAGTCGTCGCATGTAGTAGTCCTTGCTTAAACATTCTTTAAAAAACGCAGGCCAATTTTTGGTAAAAAACATAATTTAAGAATACCACAATCCACGTCTGTGGTGGTCCTTTAAAAATATTCTTTAAACATTCCACGCCTGAAGTGGTCCTTGAAAAATATTCTTTAAACATTCCAAGCCTGAAGTGGTCCTTGAAAAATATTCTTCAACAAATCCACGCCTGTGGACCACATCCGTAATGGTTTACGGACCACATCCGTAATGGTTTCTAAAAATTTCTATAAAAAAATCGCGTCTAAAAAATGCTTCGAAATATCCACGCCTGTGATGGTCTCTAAAATATATTCTTTGAAAAAATCCAGGCCCTTAATGATCCCTGAAACATATTCTTTAAACTATCCACGCATGCAATGACACCTGAACATTCTCATTAAAAAATCCACGTAGTAGATATGGTCACTGAAAAATATTCCTCAAAAAATCCAGGCCTGTAATGGTACCAAATGTATGAAATGAATTTATACATTTTACAAAGTCCACGTTGGTACCAGAAAATAATATTTAAAACCAGTGAGCGGTATAGTCGAACGGGGCCGAACATACGATACCTCACACAACTACCACTGAACTTTAGTCCGAGTCTGGACTATACTTCGTGGCATACAGCACCTCTTCCTTACACTGACACATTTTAGGAATTTTACTAATATTCAGTACAGTCCTTTTAATTACTTGTCCAAATTCCCTTCATCGTGGGTTGTGTTGTATTGTTCGGTTTATAATCGTGGCCTATAGGTCGATCGAAAAAATAACAACAACAAATTAAGTTTTCGGTCCATTTCATGCCAAAATTATTATCTTATCAGCATCTAAAATTGTAGGCGTTGAACATAACTGAAAACTCATGGAACATTTCAAATCGATCAGCGCTATATTTCCGTCCTCCAGTGTGGTACTGGATTACTAAATTATATCTGATTACGAGACACCTGTAAATATATACGTGAAACTCCAACATCTGAGTACCTACGACAATATAATTGGTATCAATTTAAAGGTCAACCACTCCTCTTGGATATACTATCAACTTCTCGGGTCTATATCCTACAGGCGTATATATTTAACGCCAAAGAATATAAATTTTGTAATTTTTCACACAAAAGTCATGGTCCATTTGACCTACTAAATATTGGCCGATCTTTATAAAAAAATGGCATGTTGATTCTTTGTCCCCATCCCCTTCTCCATGGGACATTTCGTGATGTTCGAGCCATAATTGCGGCCACTGGAGCGACCAGAAAATCAGACAAAAATAAAATTTTTGGTCCATTTCATCTCCTAAATATGAACCGATCTTTACGAAAAACAGTAGGGGTCTTTATTGGCCGGAACCCACTATACATGCAAAATTTCATGAAGATTGGTCCAAAATTGTGGCCTGTATCGAGTTTACAAATTATATTGGACAGGCGGACGGACGAACGGACACACATGCCTAGATTGACTCAGCTAGTCGAGATATGACGATCGGTATACTTGAAGGTGGGTCTAGGATCAACAGAAGAGAATAAAAAATCCAGGCCTGTAATTGTCCTTGAATAAAATTCTTTAAAGTATCCACGTTCCATTGAAGAATATCAACGACCGTAAATGACCGTATAAATATTTAACGATTTCACTCTTGATTGGTCCTTAGAAAACATTTCTCATACAAAATATTTTTTCTTATTTATCTTCCCCTGGATGTAAGTACAATATTTAAGTAAATAACAACTTGATTTTCTTTTGTTAAAAACAAAACTTTTTTATTAACTAATTAAATAACAACTACAACTTAGGCTTCAGGGGCGACGGGCAAATGGGCACCTTGGGGTTGGAAACCATTTTCATCAGCAACATAGGTAACAGTGTAGGTTTGGCCATCATCAGCAACGAAGGAGTAGGAACCACGGACAGCAAGGGCTTCGACTTCAGTACCAACATTTTTCAATTCACCTTCAGCTTGAACATTGCTGCCATCACTGGTTTCGGAACTGTTGGAAGGAAGGACAAAATATTTTAGTTAAATATGCCAATTCTATCGAGTGGTTAGATTAAATTATAATTTTTAGTTTAAATAATTTATTTATATTTTTTTGGTTTACTACTTACACATATTTGAAAGATGCAGGACCAACTTCAGATTCGCTTCTGACAATTTCAACATCAGCGGGGGCGGCCAAAGCCAAGGCGAAGAGAGCAGCGAAAACAATGATGAATTTCATGGTGTCGGTTTGTTGAGTTACTACAGCTGAGTGATACAATTCGACGAGTGGCACTTACAATTTATACCAATTTTGTGATTCTAAATATTTTACATATTTTCAAATTTAAAATTTATATTCCATGGGTCAACTGCTTGTGTAATGAGTAGAATCATCATTATTGTTGTATAGAGTTGGGTCAAGTTTGAATACCAGAATATGTCCAACTATGGTAAGAACAAGAAACATGGCCTATGTTAAGGGCATGGTTACTAAGCAGATAAACACTGATGATTATAAAGATATTGTCAAAAAATTTTTGTTTGTTTTTCATCACGAATATTGATCAACAACTGTGAACTCTTTAAAATGCAAAATACTGATCAGGTTTCATTGACGTCACAGACAGCCGTGGCATTCTATTATTATCGTTAATAGTAGTTTTTGAAAATATGGTAGGTGATTTTATTTGTATTATTCTATTAGATATTTCGCACGTTTAGACAATGGTTTATCTGTATATTATTGTAGATAACCGGGTTTTATATATACGCATATACCTTTCAAATTGCATTACATATAATTAAAACATAAATAAATAATTCTTCTAAAAATACACGCTTATTGATAATCCTCAGAAAATATTTTTAAACCCCCACTCTTATAGATAGTCTATAGAAAGTATTAAAAAATCAACGCTTATTCATAGGCCTTGGAAAGTATCTTTAAACCAGTGAGGAGAGCAGTATAGTCGGACGTGGCCGATCATATTATACCCTACACAACTACCACGGAACTCTATCTTTCTGCGGATTTTTTCCGAGCCTGGATAATATAGTCTGGATAAGATAGTCTTGAAAAAAAAAATACAAAAAATTAAGTTTTCGGTCCACATCATCCCAAAATTTATCCGATAATCACCGAATATTATAGGCGTTATCCTTGACCATAATTGGTACCTCATGGAAAATTTGAAAGTAATAATATCTGAATACGTAAGCACCTGTAAATATTTAAGTGTAATTCCCACATCCGAGTACATACGACAATACAAATTAAAGGCCAACCACTCCTTCTGGATATATTATCAACTTCTCGGGTCTATGTCCTTCAGGAGTAAATATATACGCTATAGAAATTTTTGTCAAATTTTATCATTTTCACGCAATATTCAGGGTCAATTTGACGCGCTTAATATTGACTGATCTTTGTCAAAATAGCAACCAGGAAAACCGACAAAAAATAAGTGTTTGGTCCATTTCATCCCCTAAATATTTACTGATCTTCACCCAACCCACATGCAAAATTTCGTGAGGATTGGTCCATAATTGTGGCCTGTATCGTGTTTACAAATTATAATGGACGGACACACATGTCTAGATCGACTCAGCTAGTCGAGATATGACGATCGGTATACTTAAAGGTTGGTTTAGAACTAATATTTCGCGGCGTTACAAACTCTTGGGGCTGCACCACGATATAATACCCTGATAACATAGGGCTCCTTAAAAATATCCTTTTAATAACTCTACTCTTGTCTACCTTCAGAAAATATTACTTTAAAAAGCCACTCAATATTTACTGATATTTAAATATAACAAAATTTATTTAATAAAGAAAATTCTACATAAACGTTTTCACTAACAAGAATTTAATAAGGATTAAAACAAAAATGATTCTATAATTCATTCGGCACTGCCACTAATCTCGGCTTAAGAAATTTGTTTGAATGTTGGATGGTAACCAAATTCATCAGCCACAAAGGAAATTTCGTATTTTTTACCATCGGGAGCTGTCCAGCTGGTAGAGCCTTGCATTATAATGACCGAACCATCATCGGTGGTTTTCAGTTCACCAGTTTCCTGACGGGAAATACCGTTGCTGGTATCATAGCTGTAAAATAAATTTAGAATTAGCACCCTCTGAATGCCCTTGTATTGTCGTTGTTGTTGGAAACTTACGCAAAATTGTATTTATCCACACCATTATTATCGACTTCCTGGCGTAGAATTTGGGCATCATGTTCATCATGTTCAGCCTCTTGGGGAGCAGCAATGGCGACAGCAATCAAACAGAACATTAAAGCAATTAAGAATTTCATTTCTTTTTTTGTTTTATTTAAAAAAGATTTTGAAAATAAAATATATTTTTTTCGAAGAGTTTTTGTTTCTATTACAAGCCGTTTACACTTGACTGATACCAAATACCTCGACACCCTCTCAATTTATACCAAAAATGAATTAAATCTAACAAATACGTATTTTTTACTTATTGTAGCAGGTAATATTAAATATGTCCTCGTATCATTATAATCTTTTACCTTTAACAGAAAAAAAATTTATATAATTTTGTATTTTATTATTTTTGTAAAAAATGAAAATAAATAAAAAGCAACGAAGTACTCGAGTACGAGTCTTCATTCACCAATAACAACATCCACAACAAATTTATTACCAAATTTATTAAACCCATGAAAAGGGGTTTAAAAAATTAAAAAAAAAAAACATTAAAAAGGCCATTAAAAAATATGTATATAAATTTAAATCGCATATTTTATATATAGTATTATATTAAATATTATATATTTCCGATAGTTCCTTACAATATATTCTTTAAATAATTCACAATTCTTAATAGTCATATAGAAGGTTTTTTTAATTGTACAATTTAAGTCTTTAACAATATTTATTAATAAAAAAATATTTATTATTAAATTGTTTATTACTAGCATATACCAGCTACTTCGTTTGCGAATGTGGGAAGTATTTAAAATCCAATACCAATTATTGTTAACCCTTTTGGAACCATTTAGTACCTATGTTCTCTTATAGTCCTTTTTTCCAAAACTACCTCCCTATCTCAACCCTACACACCAATTCTGACTGAAAAAATTTAGCTCGTGTAAAGTTTCCAAATTTCAAATATAACTACACTTAAGGGGACCTCCCCATTCTCGGGGTCAAAATTTTTTTGATTTAATTCTATTCTACACTAATTTAAGAATGTCCCTACAAAATTTCAAGTGAAAATCTCAAGAACTCTTGAAGATATATCCGATTTATTGTGTCAGCATCAAGTGACGGCTAAAGGGCTTCTCAAACTTTAAACGGGGTTTTCTCTTTTGCGAATGGCGGGCACGATAACTCAAAAACTAATCTCTGTGAGTGTATAGCTATCGTATGAAATAGGATAAAACCAATCGGTGAAGATCTTCCTTATTTATACCCTACACAACTATGTTGTCAGGGTATTATAGCTTTGTGCAGCCCCAAATGTTTGTAACGCCGCGAAATATTGGTCCTAGACCCACCTTTAAGTATACCGATCGTCATATCTCGACTAGCTGAGTCGATCTAGACATGTGTGTCCGTCCGTCCGTCCGTCCGTCCGTCTGTCCATTATAATTTGTAAACACGATACAGGCCACAGTTATGGACCAATCTTCACGAAATTTTGCATGTAGGATGGGTTCTGGCCAATGAAGACCCCTATTGTTTTTGGTAAAGATCGGTTAATATTTAGGGGATGAAATGGACCAAATACTAAATTTTTGTCGGTTTTTCTGGTCGCTCCAGAGGCCGCAGTTATGGTCCGAACGTCGTGAAATTTTACATGGAGAAGGGGATCGGGCCTAAGAATAAGCATGCCTGTTTTGATAAAGATCGGCCAATATTTAGAGGGTCAAATGGACCCTGACTTTTGTGTGAAAAATTACAAAATTTTTATTCTGGGGCGTATATACTTGCTCCTGAAGGACATATATTCGAGATGTTGATAGTTTGTCTAAGATGAGTTGTTGACCTTCAAATTGATACCAATTATATGGCTGTATGTACTCCCATGCGGGAGTTATACGTAATTAAGTAAAGATGATTATGTGCATATTATTACTATTACTCCATTAGAGGACGGAAATGTCGCGCTGGTTGCTTTAAAATTGTACATGAAGTTCCGATTATGGTCAAGGATTCCGCTTATAATTTTCGGTGAAGTTGAGATTTCATTCAGGGGGTGCAATGAACCGAAAACTTTAATTTTGTCAGATTTTCTAGTCGCTATAGAGGCAATTATTATATGCAGAACATCACATATTTTACAAGGTGAAGGGGATCTGACAAAATATTTAAAGCGGCTGTTTAGATGATGATCGGTTAATTTTCTGAGGGTCAAATCAACCAAAACCTAAAGTGACTAATTTTTTATTTTATTGCGTAAAAATTCACTTCAAGAAAAAACATTTTGGAAAATATGCAAGACATAGAAAGATGAGTTGTTGATCTATAATCGGTACAAAGGGTGCAAATATCACGAAATATTGCCCTGGCTCAGAATATAGAACCGCCGAAAGTGTACTTTTCGTGGTAGTTGTGTAGGGTATCATATGGTCGGCCCCGTCCGACTATACTGCTCCGCTCACTGGTTTTTAACTTGATTTTTTGGTCAAAATTCGGCGATATTTCAAAAATATTTGTTCAAAGGTCCGCCATTTTGTTAATATTAGAGCGAAGTCAATAATAGTTTATACGAGAGCCAGACATGTACTCTTTCTAACACCCTTGGAATTTTCGGATTCCGATGATCCAGTGAGGAGTTGTCATGCCCGCCATCAAAAATAAGGACTTTTCTTTAATTACAAAAAACAATAACAAAAATTGTTTGTAAATTATGTTTCTTCTCTTTTCAATCTTCAAATATATGGAGAATAACAAAATTCTTTTAAAATTCCATTAAAAAAAAATTGACAAATTTTTTTGCGAGCACATTCATGATTTTTGGTACATAGGTTAAGAAAAATATTCTGATTGGAAATATGTTCGCGTTCACAAATTCGGATGCTGCGCACAAAAGTTATAGCGATTTTAAATCTTGTATTTAAAATATAAATTAAATTAATTCCTATTTGTTGTAATTCGCGAATTTCTTTACAAATGGTTAAACACATTTGTTTTCTGTGCTTACTTGTCAAATCACATTGAAACACGGTTAAATTGTCGCAAAAAACAAATAGAAGCATGAAGATATCTGAAAATAAAATAAATTAATTTTTTAATTAAATCGAAATGTTTTTTGAGTTTTCAATTTTTTTAGTATGGTTAAGGGAATACGGTTTTGCCTTAATCTTCTGAAATATGCGACTCTTTTTTCTTCAAATTCTTTTAGATGATTGTTAAATATCGGTATATTCATCTGATAACAGATTCGACTGTAAAAATGACTAACTATATTGCAGTTACAATACATACAAACTATCAATATTTAAAAGCATGCAATTCGCGTATTAGTTGAAATCAGTTGATGCGCATGCGATTTTCGTATAAACCGAATCAACGTCTTTCAATAATTATGAATTTTTCGATGTTTAATTTAGCGGTCAAAGTGTGCCGCTCGATGCACTTTACTATGCAAAAACCCTAAAAATGGCTAAAAATCACGCAACGTGCATACGATTTTTATGCGCATCCGGTTTCAGTTATCACCTATGAAAATACACAAAAGGACACCTATTTTAAAAGGATCGGTTAAGAACCGCGGATGTGCCTCCACAATCGATTATTCTCGTATAGATATATTTTGACCTATTTTCACACAGATTCGCGAATATGATAACACAAGAATGAATGTATGTGAAATCAATTCTAAGAAAAACGCGATTATATACGCGAATTTGTCAAAATAAGTTTTTGCAGGCGGAATTTCACATGGATGGGTTCATTAGATCCGGCACGCGGCGTTCCACGGAATTTGAATGGACTTTCTTAATTTTAGACTCAAAAAATATGTTTTTTATAAAAATTTACGCACCAAATTTTCGTCCTTGGAACCCAATTGCAAAGAAGCTACGGTGAGCACATTCATGAGATACACACTAAACGAAGCAAAATCACGAGTTCTACAATCCTATAACTAGTTTAGTCCATTATCTAGATGCGCATCCTAATTATAAGAAAAATTTAAAAAACGCCGAAAATCCGGCTTCAAAATTTCAGCATCCATTTTGTGTGGATGCAGTGATTATATCGAAAAATCATACATTAGAATCGTATTGTCCATGGGGTATTCTGCAACTTAGTCACTGATCACATGTGCGTGCGTTGTGTAGTTCAGCCACAAATCAGGAAGGAACACAAACAAATTCGTTGGCTTCAACACATTTTCACCCATTTTTTTACATTACCAGCATCACACCTTCCACGAAACTTATTATTTATTACCAATATTTTTAGATTTTGACAAGAACACTTCATTTTATAGAAATTAATTTTAATTATATGCAATATGTTCATATTTCACGAGTTATAACCTTGCAAACCTCAGCTTCAAGGAATTTAAAAGATTTTTGTAATTTCCCATATATGTGCAAAGTTACAAACCTTAACAAGCATTGGTATTGATTTACCAGCCCATTGAAAATCTTGAAAAATTAAAATCGAGAATGGCTGGGGTTCCCTTAAATCCAAATTAAGTACCAGTTAGTAAACATTAATAAATTGTCATAACTTCCAATGGAAATCTTATTACTCAATTTCAGGATTCCAGCTCTATCGGTTAGCTTTTAATCCAAACCACCAAATTTAGTACACATTAGCACGAATTTCCAAAACTTTCTACAAATCGAAACCCTACACCTCAACAGTGATTCTAACATCAAATTTAAAGATTCCAGCTCTATCGGTTCACCCAAATACAAATTTGGTACCATTTAGTACACATTAGTACGAATTTTAAACAAACATCGTAACTCCAAATTGCAGGATTCCAGCTCTATCAGTTCACACAATATTCAAATTGTACCAAATTTAGTACAATTTAGTAAACATAAGTGTGCATTTCCAAAACTACATCCATACCCCAATCCTGCACTCCAACAATAACCTTATTTTCAAATTTCAAGGTTTCCAGCTTAATTGGTTTACTTAAAAGATAAATTGTACTAAATTTAGTACACATTTGTACGAATTTCCAAAACATTCCACAAAGCCCAATTCTATAGCCCAAAAGTGATCCGAACGTCAAATTTCATAATTCCAGCTCAATCGGTTCACTCAAACCGGCATTTGGTACCATTTAGTACACATTTCCAAAACTTCATCGCATCGGTTC